TGTGTGTGTGTGTGTGTATTAATTGCTTTTCCTTTTGCACACTTTGCTTGCACAGGATAATTTAGGATAATCAGGGATATTTCACTGGTGAATTGGTTTATCTCGATATTATGCAATCAGACTCTGTGTATGTGTGTGTGTGTGTTTGTGTGAACTTCTTCCTTTCTTTTTGCACGCTTAGCTTGCACAAGATAATCTAGGATAACCAGGGATATCTCACCAATAAACTGATTTATCTCTGTATTATGGAATCAGTCTCTTTCTCTCCTTGGTGTGTGTGTGTATTAACGCCTTCTTTTCCTTTTGCACATTTAGTCTGTTGTGCAAATCCCCATATGCATGACACAGTTTAGCTCCTGCTTGCTGGCTGCCAGGGACAGAGAGAAAATCTCTGGAAAATCAAAAATCCACCCTGAAAAATAAACCAGAGAAGGCTGCCTGAAATTAGCCCTCCCAAGTCGCTTCTCTTTCCTTCCTTTTCTGTTCAAGTTCAGCTTTCCAAAATAATAATAATTTTTTTTTAAAGTTCATGCAGATCCAGTGTGCTAATGTACACAAACTGAGTTGTGTGTCTTCTGTTGATCTGAGGTTCCGAGTGAAATTTGCTAAGGGGCTTTTTAAGAGACAGAGGAATTCCAAAGAAGGGATTTTTCCTTTGTGTGTAGCAAAACTATAGCTAGTCCTTGACTTACGACCATGATTGAGCCCAAAATTTCTGTTGCTAAGTGAGATGCAGGTTAAGTGAATTTTGCCCCATTTTATGGCCTTTCTTGCCACTCTTGTTAAGCGAATCCCTGCAGTTGTTAAATTAGTGACATGGTTATTAAGTGAATCCGGCTTCTCCATTGACTATGCTTGTCAGAAAGTCATAGAAGGGGATTACGAGACTTCAGGACACTGCAACCATCATAAATATGAGTCAGTTGCCAAGCATCTGAATTTTGGGACCATGGGGATGCAGCAACAGTCATCAAGTGTGAAAAACAGTCATAAGTTCCTTTTTTCAGTGCTGTTGTAACTTTGAAAAGTCACTAAATGAGGACTGTCTGTATCTGGCACCTATCTTAATTCTAACTCTTCCCCAACAGGGTCTCTGCCTTTGACGAAGAAGGAAATGCTTTGATGAGTTAATAAACTGAAAATTGTTTGCTTTTTATCAGATATATACAGATATGAAGAAAATTGGCCTTGGCCTATGGCAAACATTAACCAAAGTGTCATTTTTGCTGAGCTGGTAAAAAAAAAACGTGGCAGTGACAGATATTAAGGAAATAAATACCCACCCCACTACAGTTTGTTTTTAAAAGTCAAGGGCAGCCAACAACACAAAGCTTTCTAGATCAGTGGCGATAGATTGGACGGCAATTTTTCCAGGGTGTCTCCTCCTTGAGCAGGGGTTGAACTAGATGGCCTCCAAGGTCCCTTCCAACTCTGTTATTCTGTATTCTGTTCATGTGGTCGCTGGGAGATGAACCCATACACTTATAGACTGGGTGAAACCAGGCTCAACAGCAGGAACTGTGAGGGGGATCTTGGAGTCTTAGTGGACAACCAGCTCAATAGGAGCCAGCCGTGTGCATGCAGCAGCCAAAAAAGCCAATGCAATCCTAAATTGTATTAACAGAGAGATACAATCAAGATTAAGGGAGGTGCTAATACCACTCTATAAAGCCTTAGTAAGGCCACACCTAGAGTCTTGTATCCAGTTTCAGTCACCACACTATAAAAAATATGTTGAGACTCTAGAAAAAGTACAGAGAAGAGCAACCAGGATGATGAGAGGACTGGAGACTAAAACATTTGATGAACGGTTACAGGAACTGGGCTTGGCTAGTCTAGTGAAGAGAAGGACCAGGGGAGACAGGAGAGCATCTTCCAATATTTGAGGGGCTGCCACAGAGAGGAGGGAAGGGGGTCAAGCTATTTTCTAAAGCACCCAAAGGCCAGACAAGGAATGAAGGATGGAAACTGAACAAGGAGAGATTTAACCTGGAAATAAGGAGGAACTTTCTGACAGTGAGAACAATCAGCCCATGGAACAGAAGTTGCCCTCGGAAGTTGTGGGAGCTTCATTACTGAAGGCTTTCAAGAAGAGGCTGGACTGCCCTCTGTCAGAAATGGTGTAGGGTCTCCCGCTTGGGCGGGTGTTGGACTAGATGACCTACAAGGTCCCTTTCAACTCTGGTTATCTGTTATCTGTTAACCCCGATTGGAAGGCTCAGAATGAACCCATCAATTCTGGCTTTATATGGGTGCTCCTCGATTTATGACCGCAACTAAGCCCCAAATTTGCTAAGCGAGACCGTTCTTAAGTATGTTTTGCCCCGTTTTACAACTTTTTGTGCCACGGCTGTTAAGCGAATCAATGCAGCGGAGAAGGTAGTCACACAGTGATTAAGTAAATCTGGCTTCCTGCTTATCAGAAGGTCACAAAAGGGGATCATGTGACCCCGGCACGCTGCGACTGTCATAAATGTGAGTCAATGGCCGAGCGTCTGAATTTTGATCATGTGACATGAAGATACTGCAATGGTTGTAAGTGTGAAAATGTGCCAATGTTACATGTGCCAATGTAACTTCAAATGGTCACAAAATAAATGGTTGTAAATGGATTAAATTTCCTTAAGTAAATAAATAAGAATATTTTTCAGCTGGAAAGCTGAAGCTCTGCTCTGCTGTTGAATGCAAGCTATAAAATACATTTCAGGAAGTCCTCGACTTACAACCATTCATTTGGTGACTATTCAAAGTTACAACGGCACTGGAAGAAGTGACCTCCAGCTGGGCCTCACGCTTCTGATCATCACAGCTGACCAAGGTGACGTGATCCAAATTTGGGTGCTTGTCAACCGGCATGTACTGTAGTTTCGACGGTTGCTGCCTCCCGAGGCCTCACAGTCGCCATTTGTGGCCTTCCCTGCCTGCCTCCGACAAGCAAAGTCAATGGGGAAAACCAGCTTTGCTTAACGGCCGCTTGATTCTCTTAACAACTGCAGGGATTTGCTTTACAAGCGTGGCAGAAAGAGTGGTACAATGGGATGCAACTCACTTTTAAGTTGGTTACATGGTTTGTTAAATTAAGTGCTTAGCAAATGGAAATTCCAGTCATGATTGTGGTCATAAGTCAAGGACTACCTGTAGAGTGAATTCTGAGACCAAAATGCTCGCCAGGCGACCCTGTTCTTAATTCTGTAGTGGAAATGCAATATGGATTCACCCCAAAGCATCCTTGCGCTGGTATATTTTGTGGCGCCATCTTGCTTTACTTTAAGAAGCGGGTCAGACTAAATGTTCTCTGAGGTCCCCTCAGACTTTGGGACTCTGGGATAAGCTCTAGGATGCGATCCCCTTTTGCGACCTTCTGACAAGCAAAGTCCATGGGGAAGCCAGATTCACTTAACAACCATGTGATTAACAGAACAACTAGCAATTCTGGATTTAAACCTTTATAGCGATATAGATTTATAGATTTATCTCCCCAGTGGTGTCGTTCAAGGCCAAATGTAAGGTTGTTCTTTCCGACTATGTATTGGTCTGTGCTCCTCAGTGTAAGGGGGGGTGGGGTGGGGTGAGGGTGTTGTAAAATAACTTTCTCCCTTTATCTGCACAAAGCAAGCTCTGAATATGCTACGAAGCCAGCTACTTAGGGGTTTAAAAAAACAACTGCAAGAGAGAGGGAGTTTCCCTCTACGGCTCTCTCCTGTGCCAATTTCCCCGAGGGGATCCAGCTTTCTTCTTCCTCCTCCTGGGATCGAATCAGCGGCCAGACTTCCCGACGTGACTCTGTGTTCAAGGAAAACAATTAACAAAACATTGGCCAGGTTCTGACATGAAAGGTGTTTAATTGATTTCCACGATATGCAAAAGATGTTGGAAACCAAGTGCTGATTTTAAAAATAAAGCTTTGACTTTTTCTCTTTTTCTTTCCTTCTTTCTTTTTCTTTCTTTCTCTTTCTTTCTTTCTTTCCTTCTTTCTTTCTTTCCTTCTTTCTTTCTCTTCTTTCTTTCTATTTTTTCTTTTTCTCTTTCCTCCCTTCTTTCCTTTCCTTCCTCCCTTCCTTCCCTTCCTTTTCTCACTTTCCTTCTGTTTCTTTCTTTTTTCATTCTTTTTCTTTCTTTTTCCTTCCTTCCTTCCTTCCTTCCTTCCTTCCTTCCTTCCTTCCTTCCTTCCTTCCTTCCTTCCTTCCTTCTTTCCAAATCAAATCAAATCAATTTTTTATTGCCAATGCACAACACGTACAATGGAATTGAAAATTTCTTCCTTCTTTCTCTCCTTTTCTTCTCACTTTCCCCTTTTTTCTTTCTTCCCTCCCTCCCTCCCTCACTTCTCTCCCATTCTCTCTCCCTCCCTTCTCCTTCCCTTCTCTCTTTTCTCTCTGTCTCTTCCTCCTTCCTTCCTCACATTTGACTGAGCCTTTCTGCAATTGGTGGCACCCCAGAAGGAATGGGGGAAGCCCCCCCCTTGCTCACATCCGCCCCCCCCCACTTCCTGGGGCTGCTAACTGGCCCAAGTGACATATTCCATGGCTATAAACCCTCCTTCTGTATGGGCCACTCCCGTTTTTGAAATTCAAAACTCAGCGAGAGGTAGATTATTTTTAAAAAAAGGAATCCGGGTGAACCTGTACAGCTGCTTAAGAAAATCACCTTTTTGAATTTGGTATGTAGTCATATGCGAGACGAGGTCGACCACTTCAAAAGACCTGAACTATCTTGCTGTTGGCATTCTCAATACAGGTAGTCCTCGACTTACAGCAATTCATTTAGTGACCATTTGAAGATACACTGAAAAAAGGGACTTATGACCGTTTTTCGCCCTTCACCAACCGTTGCAGCTTTTCCATGGTCACAGGGTCAAAATTGAGATGCTTGGCTCCTATTTATGACGGTTGCAATGTCACGTGATCCCCTTTTGCAACCTTCTGACAAGCGAAGTCAATGGAGAAGTCAGATTCACTTAACAACCATGTGACTAATTTAACAACGGCAATGATTCACTTAACGGTGAGAACTGAGATTGTAAAATGAGGCAAAATTCACTCAACAATTGTCTCACTTAGTAATGGAGATTTGGGTCTCAATTTTGGTTGTAAGTCGAGGACTCTCTGTAGTACAAAGAACAAGAGTTACCAGCACTAGCAAAAGCTACAATGAACAACTGCAACAAAAGTTTGTTATGATTACAGTATTTATTTACTGGGGCAGATAAATAGTTCTTTTTCATAAATAATTGGAAAATCCAAACGGCAACCCAGCAATTTAATTTTTTTCTGTTCTTCTGGGCTGTTCTTCTTTTCTTTTCTTTTTAAAAAAGTCAATGTGGAGAAGAAAAAATAGTTTACCTATTTGAAAAAAATAAAACCACAGCAAATTGATCACTTTAAACCAGGTGAAGCAATAAGATAAGGATCTCTTGATTGCAAAACTAGGTTCCAATGGTGATAAACAGCCAGACAGCTCATTTTTCACTGCAAAAGAAGCAATTTTGTTTGTTTGTTTGTTTGTTTGGACAGCAACAAACCTCACAGCAGTGGGGTACAGTGGAGGCCCTGTACTTGCTCCCTGATAAGACTATGAAAGATTTTATATGTTTTCTTTTTCTGAAAGAGTTCTGTAATTCTTTGAAAAGAACAGCTGGTGGTAGATTGTCCGAAGGGCTGCATGCAGCATGGCTGGCTGGCATGAGCCACCTCTTTATACCTCAGGAGGAGTGTTGTGTTTGGGAAGATTTTTGCAGGAAGCTGAAAGTGATTGTGATTTGGGTTGAGATTACGGGTGTTCTCAGCATCAAAATGATTTATTGTCCAAGTATTGTTGTGTGTTTTCACCCTAGCATGTTCACATGTGAAAAGCCACAGCTGTAAAGCCACTGAAACTCATCCAACTGTTAATGAAATTTACTCTGATGTTTAACACAAAGTTTTATGTATGTATGTATGTGTGTGTATGTATATATATATATATGCTTCTGTATTGAGTTCGTCGAACGCCGGGGAAGGCGGGGAAATAAAGGCAACGAAAGGAAACTGTTCAATTAATTATTTAACGCCAACATAGAATAATTAAATAATTATTAAAACTAAAATTAATAAAACATTAATAAAACCAATCTAATTTACAGTTATTTCATTAATTTAGTTTTATTAATTTCATTTGGATTAAATAAATTCTTTAATAAATTAAATAATTAACTAACTGAACTAAATTTATTTTAATAGAACTACCTTTAAATAAATTAAAACAAAAACCAAAATTAAATCTAAATCTTTTGTTTTTGGTGAAACGGTTGTAAGTTCGTGGACATTTGCATGCTCAACTGATGGGGAACAATGGAAATATTGTGTGGATTCTTCTTCCCCTCCAGCTTTTGTCAAAGCCTTTAAAAAAATCAGATTCTTCATAAATACTTCCTTTTTTTCTTTCCAAAATAAATAAATAAATAAGCCAGAGATTTCATAAGCTCCTTCTGGGGGTTGCATGCACCTTTAAAATGCTTTTGAAACAGATAATCTTTCGGGCCCAACTTTCACCTTCCCCCATCTGTTAACTATACCACATTGTTGAGGATAGGAGAGGAGCATTGCTATAAAATAAATAAAATGCGTCCATCTGTTGTAACTGGGACCTCTTCTATTCCACAATCATAATAAATGCCTTAACCTGCAAACTTCTGATCTCGTCAATATGCTGCATAAAAATGCTTTGCTTTTTGGAGATTGTGTGAAGGAGGTTTTGTGGACTACACAGCCATCACGCCATACTTTGAACAGAGGAGTGCTCTTTTCCTCTCGCGTTCAGCCACAAAATTTCTCAGCTTGGTGGTAGAGAAGGTCACCGTGGCTTGTTGGTGTTCATCCAAGCCGGTCTCCTGCAGCCACGAAGACTGGAGACACTCTGTGGCTGTTGGCCTTCTCCTGGAAGGAAACAGAACTTTGAGGTTGAAGCCCTATCAGAGAAACCAAGTAGGAAAAAAACCAACATCTTTTTCTTTTTCTTTTTCTTTCCAAAAAGAAAGAAAAGGGGGAGGGGGAGGGGGAGGAGGAGAAGGAGAAGGAGAAGCAGAGATGAATTATCCAGAAGGGGTTCTCCAGATGTGGGATTCAGCTGGTTCAGACAGGTTCAAGCGAACCGGTTGTTAATTTTTTGTGCACTTCAGAAAATGGGTTAATTGCGCCACTGGCTGGCCCCGCCCCCTGTGACCCGCCTGCTCTGCCCCTCCCAGTCACCCCTTATCTTGCCTTGCCATCTTGGAGGCGGCATAGCAGCTTTTGCTCTTTGGTCCCCTCACTTGCTAGCCTTGACCTCGTGGCCCCCGTGGCCCAGCCCACTTACCTGTCTTTGCCCCAGCCTCCCCTGTGGCCCAGCTACCTGCCTGCCTGGTCAGCCTTCCTGGCCTCTTTGCTGGTGTGAGTGGCCCGTAGCCACTGCCTCTTTGTTGGTCCGCACCAAGGTGGCCGGAGGCCCCTCACGCCGGCAAAGAGGAAGCATCTGCCGCCTTGGTTTGGGTTGGCAAAGAGGCAGCACCTGCAGGCTGCTTGCATCAGCAAAGAGGCAGCGGATGGAGGCCGCTCGCGCTGGCAAAGAGGCCTGCACTGCCCCACCTTGCTGTCAGTTCCATCGAGACGGCCGCACCCACTCAGTCGTTAGGAAGAATCAGTGGTTAAATCAGTTGGATCCCACCCCCGGGGTTCTCCATCGTAGACCTTAAACGTAACTTGCGCTTCACCTTACACAGCCACCCCAGCTGGTGATGGGAGCAGAAGAGAGTGAGAACAGAGTTGGAAGGGACCTTGGAGGTCTTCTAGTCCAACCCCCTGCTCAAGCAGGAGACCCTCTACCATTCCAGACAAGTGGCTGTCCATCCTCTTCTTTAAAACCTCCAGCGTTGGAGCCTTCACAACTTCTGGAGGCAAGGAGTTCCAGCGGTGAATCGTTTTCACTGCCACGAAGTGCCTCCTTGTTTCTGGGCTGCTTCTCTCCCGGATCATCCATCCCCCGTCACTTCTTCTCCTGCTTTTTGGTACTTTGGGGAATAGGTTGACCGCCCCCCCTCCCCCCCCACGACCCTCCTCTACTTTGTGGCAGCCCTTCAAATATTGGAGGTTCTTTAAATAACTGTTTTCAGTAACCCTAACTCTTAACAGGTAGTCCTCAATTTACAACCGTTCATTTAATGACAGTTCAACATTATACAAAATGGGACCATTTTTCACACTTAACGACCGTTGCAGCATCCCTGTGGTCACGTGATCAAAATTCAGATGCTTGGCAATCGGTTCATATTTATGACGGTTGCTATGTCCCGGGGTCACGTGATCCCCTTTTGCAACCTTCTGACCATCAAAGTCAATAGCCAGATTCACTTAACAACCATGTGACTAAATTAACTGCAGAGATTCACTTAACAACCATGACAGGAATGCAGATAGCAGGTACTTTTTTGGGGATCTGTCGGAACTTCAAACCTTCACTAATGGTCATGAAGTGAGAACTATCTGTGAGCCCAAACAATCTCTTACGGCCTGATTGCACTTGATTGTTACTCCTAGGTAGTGCTCAACTTACAACAGTTCATTTAGTGACTGTTCAACATTACAAAGGCAATTTAAAAAGTGACTTATGACTATTTTTCACGCTTATGACCATCGCTGCATCCCCAGGGTCATGTGATTTACATTTGGATGCTTGACAACTGACTTACATTTATGACAGTTGCAATGTCCCCTGGGGATCCCCCTCTTGCGACCTTCTGACAAGCAAAGTCAACGGGGAAACCAGATTCACTTAACAACTGTGTAATTTAACAACTGCAGAGATTCACTTAACAATGGTGGCAAGAAAGGCCATCATACAGGGCTCAATTGTGGTCATAAATAGAGGACTACCTGTACTTAGTTGAGATGATCTGGGATAGAAAAAAAAAAGTATCTGCAACATGTGAAAGAGCAACCCTTGAGGAGCAAACAGGTCTTCTCACCAGGGATTCAAGGAAAGCGTGCTTTGGAGGAAGTTGATGGCTCCTCCCGAAAGGCCAGCGTAGCATTTGTTGAGTCGTATTTTGTCTCGCTTGACCAGCCTTCCGAAGTCACAGGCACCCTCGGAGCTGATGGGATATTCAGCACTCAGCCTGGAAAGGGGAGAGGAAGGAAGAGTTTCGGTTTGGCCAACAGGACACAGTAGTATTTGTAGCTCGGAATTCAAACGTGGGGTCCCTGGTGCTCTCTGAGCTTGGCTATTTTCTCGCAGTCATTTCATGATCCAACAATGCAACATCATCGGTAGTTGAAGAAAGGGGAGGTGGCAGAGAGGAGGAGGGGAGAGAGGGAGGGGGAGGAAGGAGGAGGAGGAGGAAGAGGAGGAGGAGGAAGACTGTGGGCTGTTCTTGGTGCTCTCTGAGCTTGGTTGTTGTCTTGCAGATATTTTATGACCTTTACAAGGTAACACGGTCAGTGCTAGAAGGGCATGGGAAAGACATCTCATGGCCCAAATAGGTAATATAATCAAGTTTGAGGGAGTATGAGTCTGCTCCCTTTTTATATAGAGTTGCTTTTTCCTTGTTTCTCTGGTGTTAATCCCGGCTTATCTGGGTTTCTCTTTCTATGGAGTCCTCAGTGCTGTCTGAACTTGGTTGTTTCCTTGCGGACAGTCCCTTCTCACACTAATGATGTCGCCTGGGTGGGTTATGAAACGCCTGCAAGAAAATAACCAAAAAAACCTCAACCTCAACCCCAGCCTTCTCCACTGTCACTTCCTGTGGTTGACCTTGCATTCATAATGGCCTCTTTGTTTTAGGTCTTCATCTCTCTCATGTTTGACTTGGGACATTCAACCAAAATTCTCTCCCCTCCTATCCCAAAGGGTGAGGAAAATGGGGACCGCCTCACAGGGAGGTGTTAGCAAAAACCACAGCGGATTGACAGCAGTTCAAGGCCTGGAGGACAGGGAGGTGCTCACATCATCCTGAAATCCCCAACGGAGACTGTGATGATCCTACACACCCCTGGTCATCTGATTTCACCTGAAATGTAACAAAATCACACACTTCTCACCTGCCTCTGGTTTGAGAGGGACAGTCAGGACGTTAAAGGATAAGTGGAGACAGTCTCATGCGTAACTTGGCTTATAACAGTTTGTTTAGTGAACGTTCACAATTACAACAGCACTGAAAAAAGGGACTTCTAACTGTTTTTTTCACCCGGCCTCTGCAACATCCCCACGGTCACATGATCAAAATTTGGATGCTTGGCAACTGGCTTGTATTTATGACAGTTGCTGTGTCCCGGAGTCACGTGATCCCCTTTTGTGACCTTCTGACAAGGAAAATCAATGGGGAAAGCGGATTCACTTAACAACCATGTTACTAACTTAACAACTGCAACAATTCACCTAAAAACTGTGCCAAGAAAACTTACCAAAATGGGACAAAACTCACATAACAAATGTCTCACTTAGCAACATAAATTTTGGGCACAATTGTGGCTATGAGTTGAGGACTACCTATAGAGTATTTTGGGGCCTAGTGGAGGTCTCGCTTTGGCCTTCTATGCCCAACTCTTCCTTTGAAGTCAAGCTCTGCTTTTTTTGCCAGCTGTCTGAAACTCTTCACAGGTTTTTCCAAAAGGCAACTGGACTTCCTTGGTTTAGGAAAACGTTTCGCTTCTTATCTAAGAAGCGTCTTCAGTTCTTTGGTTTCCTCAAATCTTCACTGAAGAAGCTTCTTGGATTACTTCTTGGAATACTCACCTCCAATGACCTAAGTGCTAGAGCCCACTGTAACTACATAGCCAAAAAGGCATTAAGAGTTGTTAACCTAATCCTACGTAGCTTTTTCTCTGGTAATATCACACTACTAACCCGAGCATACAAAACATTTGCTAGACCAATACTCGAATACAGCTCATCAGTCTGGAACCCACATTACGTATCTGATATTAGCACAGTTGAGAAAGTCCAGAAATATTTCACAAGAAGAGTTCTCCACTCCTTTTCTTATATGTATCCATGTATTCATAACTATGTTTTTACTTATACCTATTGTAAGCAATTGACAAACCAAATAAATAAATAACCATGACCTTGGATGGTTGAAAATCTCATTAAGAGGCTCTTCAAGGTTGATTTGATGGGGTCTCCTGCCAGCTCATCTGTTCGCAAATGATACCACCGTATTGGGTCTCATTACAGGTGGAGGGAGGGGAAACAGTGCACAGGGGGGAGGTTCAACAATTATCCTCACGGTGCCTAGAAAACAACCTGCACCTGAACATCAGCAAGGCAAAGGAGATGGTGCTAGACTTCTGGAAGAAGAGGGAGGAACCCGCCCCACTTTACATCGAGTTGGGCTGGAAAATCAACACAACCCAGGTGGCAGAAAGGCCCAACAGAGACTCCATTTCCTGAGGGTCTTGCAAAAGAATAAAGTGGAACAGCAACGGATGGCCTCCTTTTACAGGTCCGCAATAGAAAGCGTCCTCACATACTGCATGACGGTGGTGGTATGCTGGCTTGACAAGCGCGGATAGAAAGACATTACAGAGGATGGTGAGCACAGCACAAAACTTTGTGGGCTGTTCCCTGATACCACTAGGTGACCTTGCTGTGGCTCACTGCCTTAGGAGAGCGAGGAAAATCCTCAGGGACGACTCACCACCTGGTCAGCCCTGCTTCACTCTCCTACCATCGAGAAGGAGATAGAGAAGCATAGCCAGACGCACCAAGAGGCTGAAGAACAGTTTCTACCCGTGGGCTGTCAGGCTCCTGAATGCGAAATTATTTCGTGTCAACATAGTATAGATAGACTTGCGGGGCCGGTGCTTTGTGCAACAAGGTCACACAGTGTAGTAAGATTAGGTCTGGGTTAGAGACCTCCGTCCCCACTGTGAGTTGTGTTAGGGGGTGGGGTGCACAAAGGGAGGCTCAGCCAATCTCATTGGACACATGTTGTACTCTGACCACAGGTCGATTTGATTTCATTTCTTCATGTCTTTGACCAATTATCTTTGTCCTTCTTGGATCCTTACCTGCTTTGCCTCTAACATTAGCTCACTTTTCAGTTCATACAGGTAGTCCTCGAGTTACAACAGTTCATTTAGTAACCATTCAAAGTTACAACAGCACTAAAAAAAATGTGACTTATGATTATTTTTCACAGTTACGACCTTTGTAGCCTCCCCATAATCATGTGATAAAAATTCACACGCTCAGCAGCTGGATCATACTTATGACGGTCGCAGTGTCCCGGGGGGGGGGGTCATGCGATCATCTTTTGCGACTTTCTGAGAAGCAAAGTCAATGGGGAAACCAGATTCACTTTAACAGCCGTGTTACTAACTTAACAATTGCAGTGATTCACTTTACAACTGTGGCAAGAAAGGTTGTAAAATGGGGCGACATTCACGTAACAGATTTCTCACTTAACAGCAGAAGTTTTGGGCTCCATTGTGGTCATAAGTGGAGGACTACCTGCATTTGATTTGCCAGCAACATGGGCACTCACAAAGCACAGAGTTAGTAAACCCTCAGCCCACTTGAGATCCAAATGAATAGAGCAGAACCACGATCTACTAGCAACTTGTCCTCTTTTATTACTTGGGGGTCTTACTCTCTGCCTACTCCCTGATGAAGCAAAATCATCTGGTGTGAATTTGATCTGGTATGCGAGACTTCTTGGGAAGCATCTGGGTGGCCTCTGGGTGGCCCTGAAAACTGAATCGGGCCTGCCTGATTCTGTCTCAAAACCTTTCTTACAAGAAAGCCCGTCGTGAAGATATCAGACTAGAAACTGGGAGAAAAGGACTTCTAGTCCCACCTTTGGCACGAAAAGCAGCTTGGCACCTTTGGGCCAATCACCAGGAGATGAAGAGTTCTAGTCCTGCTTCAGGCATGAAAGTTGTCTGGGTGACTTTGGGCCAATCACCAGGAAGCAGTGAGTTCTAGTCCCACCTTAGGCACGAAAGCCAGCTGGGTGACTTTCCAATCCCTCCCTCACAGGGTTATTGTGGGGGGAAATAGGAGGAGAAATAGGAGGAGAAAAGTGTATTGGATATGTTCGTTGCTGCTAGAGTTATTTGTAAAAATAACAGTGAGGTACAAATAATAAAATGAAATGAAAGAAAATAAAAGCAAAATGAAATAAAAAAATAAGATTAAAAAAAATAAAATAGAGCAGCATTCACTGCCACTTTCCAGAAAGGATCGCTATGAAGGCTTTGATGATAATACCTAATTAAAAGTCATGCCCACGCAGTTGCATTTCTCCAGATAAGGATGTTTCAAAAATCAAATTGGTAAGGAGAACAGAGGCATCCTATAATTATGAGTTTCTTCTGCCTCTGCCTGCTTTTGCCTAACGTTGTGGGTTAATTTATTTATTCACAAATTTGTAGTCTGCTTTTTACAGACACACGAGATGGCATGTTGTGTGGCATTCTCTAGCCCTATTTTCCCCCCTTATAAAAGCCCCAGAAGTGGCAATCCCAAGTCACCCAAACAGGCCTTAAGGTTTTAATTGATTGGTTGATTGATTTGATTTGATTTGATTTGTCAATCGCTTACAAGGTAATAGAAATAAGTATAAACATGAGTAAGAGTACAGGAAATAGGTACGAATCAATGGGGACAATAGGACAGGGACGGTAGGCACAACGGTGCACGCCCCTTACAGACCTCTTAGGAATGGGGTGGGGTCAATAGTGGCTAGTTTGAGGTTAAAGGAGGGGGGGTTAGGAACTGGAACCTGCAAGTCCCCCATTCCTATTTGAAGACCTCCCCCCACCAGATAATCAGGCCGAGAGAAGGGGGAATGGCCCCAAGTCCACCCAGAAGCTTCTTTGGCTAATGCAAGATAGAACCTTGGTCTCTCCCCTCTTATTCACAGCATCTTCTCCACTCTACTACCCCACTAGAGATTTGGGGAAAAGACACTGGTTTATACATAAAAAAGCTTTGCACGTTCTCTGTAAAGATGACAGAACACAGTTCAGACAGATCTGCCTTTTATAACTCTAGCCTAGGCAATTCTGCTGGATTTGGGACCTCAGTGGAGGGCGCCCACTTGAAAAATGATTTTGTGTGTGTGTGAGAGAGGGGCGGGGAGGAGAGGGAGAGAGAGAGGCGGGGCGGGGGAGAGACTTCTGGTTAATTTTGGACTCCTGGACTACAGTTTTCTGGGCAAGATTTTTTCGTAAGTTATTTGCCTTTGCCTGCTTCCTAGAGATGAAAGAAAGTGGCTAGCTCAAGATCACACAGTTGGTTTCATATCTGAGGTGTCCCTGTCTCCTGGTGATTGGCCCAAAATCACCCGGCCAGCTTTCATGGCAGAACTAGAATTCACTATCTCCTGGGGATTGTCTCAAGGTCTAAGGTGGGACTAGAATTCTTTGGTGAACTGGCCCAAAATTATCCAGCTGCCTTTCGTGCCTAAGGTGGGAACAGAACTGACTGGGTCCTGATGATTGGCCCAAAGTCTCCCAGCCTGCTTTCACGCCTAAGGCAAGACCAGAACTCCCCTTGTGTTTAACCCTAGGCCACCCAGCTGGCTTTCATGGCTAAGGTGGACTTGAATCCACGTTCTCTTGCTTTCTGGCCTGGTGCCTTAAGCACTAAGCGAAACCAGCCTTCAATGCTCACATCCACTGTACATCCCACCTAATGATATGAGGGATTCTGCCCTCTGCAGAAGATCGGAGCAGAGGGCTTCTACTTTGAAGGTGCTGTGATTCTGTCAACAGAAGCTGAGGTCAACTTACATGATAAAAGCTGTCACGCCAATCGCCCAGATGTCTGTCTGTGGGACGGCTCCCTTCTCCGATAGGAGTTCTGAAGCTAAAAATACACACGCGTGTTAGGAAAGTGTCCCGCCATAAGATCCAGGTGCTTCGGATTCAGAGAGATTTGCAGAATTAAATTTTCTGACCTATAAATTGGTTTTGTTTGTTTGTTTTCCACATTTCTGAATTGCCCATCTACCCCAAAGAGGATCTCCCTGCCTCCCCCCCCCCCTCTCTCTGTATGTGTGTGTTTGTGTATATATAAATGTAGATTTCTTAGTGCTCTCTGAGCTTGGTAGAATTCTTGCAGACGTTTCATCACCAAGTAGGTAACACCATCAGTGCTATGAGTGGGGCTTGCTATTTGTATTTATTTCTTCTTGGTAATTCCCTGATTAGGTTGTTGTTTACTATTTAATTGTTTCTCAGACAAACAGTCAAAAAAAATAAAGAACAGCCAAAACAGGGAACCACCAAGAACGCACGCTCCAACACTGCCAGGGGAAACCTCTAGTAAAGGAGAAAAAGGGAACAACTCTTCCCCCCTCACTTTTGGCACTGATGATGTTCCCTAGTGGGGTCATGAAACATCTGCAAGGAAACCATCAAGCTCAGAGAACATCAAGGACCCCACAGCTCAATCCTGCTCCATAAATATTCTCTTTTATAACTGTCTGTCTGTCTGTCTGTCTGTCTCTATCCATCCATCCACCCATTTATCTATCTACTCTTTCTGTCATCTATCTATGTAAATGTGCATCTTCTATAAATATGAAACCAGTTCTATAGCTGAACAGGCCAGGTGCAGCAAAAAGCTACAAGTTCAAATCTTGCCACCTGAAGATCCCAGATAGCAGGAGATCTAGAGGTCAGGAGGCCTTAGTTTTTAACAACCATTTTTTCCTTATCAAGAAAAGTTCTGGCCTACGCTGAACAAGAGGAACTGAAGAATGCCCTATTTTCTTTTATCCATGGTGCCGAATTCCCACAGCTCGGATTTCCTGGCTCACTCACCCATGGTTTCTACGTAGTCCGTGCATCCATCCACAGTTAGGATTTGATCTGGTGTATAGAACCGGGCGTTGCCAAAGTCTAGAAGTTTCAACAGGTTGGGCTCCACAATCACCATGTTTTCAGACCGCAGATCCAGATGCACGATGTCCTGATTGTGAAGATACTCGACGGCGCTGAGAATCTGCCACAGGTAATCCCTGACCTGCACCTCTGAATACGAAGACCTGGGAAAGAGAAGACGGTGAAAACAAAAACGGGGGTCAGGGATTCCCCAAAAGTTCGACTCAGTCCAGCGATGTCAAGAAAATCAGCCTACATGGATACGGTCAGGTGCAGGCAGTCAGAATCAGGCCAACATTTCAACTGCTAAGTGAGACAGTCATTAAGTGAGTTTGGCCCCATTTTACAACCTTTCTTGCCACAGACCTTAAGTGAATCACAGCAGTTATTAAGTGAATAGCAGGGGGGTTAAACAGATCCAGCTTCCCCAATGAATTTGATTGTCAGATGAGCGGAAAAGGGGATCATGTGACCCCGGGACACTGCAACTGCCATAAGTACATGCCAGTTGCCAAGCCTCTGAATTGTGAGCATGTGACCGGGGGTGGGGCTGCAACTGCTGTAAGTGTGGAAAACGGTCACAAGTCACTTTTTTCAGTGCTGTTGTAACTTTGAAGGGTCACTGAACAAATGCCTGTAATTCATCCAGAACTATGGTGTGTAGGATCATCAGGGTACTGGTGGTCCTTGACTTACGACCACACTAGGGAACAGGATTTCTTTTTTGCTAAGCAAAGCAACAGTTCCTGGTCCCTATTGCGGTGATAATAACCCTTTGAAGGAGTTGCTCCCGATTTATTTTACCTTTTTAGCCATGGTTGTAAAGTGAATCTCTACAGTTGTTAAGTGAATCTCTACAGTTGTTAAGTGAAACATGGTCATTAAGTGAATCAGCTTCCCCCCATTAACTTTGCTGGTTCAAGCCAACTGCGAAGGTCACAAATGATGATAATTTGTTGTAATTCCATGTCGGTTGCCAAGCATTCTGATTTTGATGAGGAATGTCGCAATGGTCATAAGTGCAAGGACCGTCCAAAGTCCATCCCCCCGCTTTTCAAAAGGTTGTTAAATGAATGTTCGCAAATTGAGGACCACCTGCAGTTGGTCAACTAGAAAGAAATGTTCCTGCTTACCTCCCAGCTAAGGCATGAAGCAGCTCAGGCCCCACGCAGAGTTCGACAATCAGCACAAGGTGGCGTGGACTCACGTAGGCGCCCTGCAGCTGCCCTATGTTGGTGTGGTGCAGTTTCCTTAGGATCTGGTATTCCTGTAGGATGTTGTCTTTCTCTTCCGGCTGATACGGGATGATTTTGGCAGCCAAGGGATTTCCGCTGAATTTTTCTCGGCATTGTTTGATGATACTGAAACGGCCCCTGAAGAAAGAGAACCCAAACATCACGGGAGGCTTTCAAAAATAAACCGGACAACCTTTTGACCAGGATGGTACAAGATCTCCTGCTCAGGCAGGAGCGGTTGGGCTAGATGGCCTCCGAGGTCCCTTCTAACCCAATGATTCTATGAGGTCTTTCACTTCTAAAATTCTGAAAGTGTCTTGGGATGAAATGGGATTATTTCTTCCGAGGAAATTGGGATTACTACTGCAGGTGGAGAAAAAGGTGCCAAATATAACACCACTACAAGGAAGTCCTCGACTTACAACCATTCATTTAGTGACCAGTTACAACAGCACTGAAAAAAAGTGACTTATGGCCTTTTTTTCCAAATTTATGACATCTCAGCACCCCCCTGGTCACATGATCAAAATTTGGATGCTTGGCCACCAGTTCATATTTACGACGGTCTCAGTGTCCCGGGGGTCCAAGCAAAGTCAATGGGGGGGGGAAGCCAGGTTCGCTTAATGACCATGTTACTATCTTAACTATGGTGATTCACTTCACACCTCTGGCAGGAAAAGTTGTAAAACAAAGCAAAATTCACTTAACAACCGTCTTGCTTAGGAATAGAAATGATGAGCTCAATTGTGGTTGTAAGTCGAGGACTACCTGTTATTGTGTGAGCAAAATTGGCTACTGAAATCTTTCTGGGTGCAGTTCAAGACCCTGGTTTCCACCTTTAAAGCCCTAACATGGTTTGGGGCTGGGTTACCTGTGGGGAAGCCAGTTTCCCAAAGTCTCCACCTGTTGAATTGGATCCAGCAAGTTGACCAGGGTACAGATGCTGTTCAGCCAAAGAACGATGCTTGTCGGAGATTTGAAGTCCCCAGCTTACGACCAGAATTAATCCCAAGCTTTCTGTTGCTCAACCAGACAGTTATTAAGTGAATTTTGCTCCATTTTAACACCTTTCCTGCCAACATGGTTAAGCGAACCACTGTAGTTACACGGTTGTTAAGCGAATCTGGCTTCCCCCATTGACTTTGGGGATCATGTGACCCCAGGACACAACAATGGTCATAAGTACGTGCCAGTTGCCAAGCAGCTGGATTTTGATCACGTGACCACAGAGATGCTGCAACAGTTGTAAGTGTGAAAAACATAAGTCTCTTTTTTCTGTGTCATTGCAACTTAGAATGGTCACTAAACAAATGGCTGTAAATCAAGGATTGCCTGTCGATAACTGAAGCTTCAGGACTGATCTGATTCTTTCCTTAACGTCTTTCTCTCACCTGTTGCATAAATGGTTACTCATCTGTTGTGCAGAATTTCAAAGTTTTGTTTCTGGGTGTTCACTTCCAGCCTAGCCCAGATGTGCAGCTGTTATTAAAAGTGCTTTCAGCTGCAACACTCATTCCCTGGAAAAAGTTTAGGAAGTTTCTATTTTATTGCCTCACCCTTTCCCACATTATTGGTGGCCAATGGGCTTCTGCCAAACATACAAGTGCTGCATTCCTTTCTGTGTTTTGGAAAATAACTTTCTTGCTTTGAGTGCTAGGCGCACACACACTTAGAACTACAACACAAATTATCCTAGAAATTGTGTTAAATGTTTGAATTGGTTGCCATTTTCTTTTGAAACCCTTCCCGATTCATTTGTTGCATGGCCTATATCTATAGTAATATCTATCAGTCTATCTTCTGTATTTCTATTCTTCTCTCATTTCTTTCTCTATCTTCTGTCTCTGTCTGCATATCTATCCATCATCTCTATCTCCCCATCTCTCTATCTTTCTCTCTCACACTCATCTCTCTCACACTCATCTATCTATCTATCTATCTATCTATCTATCTATCTATCTATCTATCTATCTATCTATCTATCTATCTATCTATCTATCTATCTATCTATCTATC